TCTGTCCAGTGTGCCGTTCAAAGTGGATTATCAGCAGCGACGCTCCATACAAAAAGTATGGAATAAGAAGGGCTTCAGCTGGGACTCTGAGGAGCCTCTGAGAGGCTCCTCAGAGTCCCAGCTGAAGCCCTTCTTATTCCATACTTTTTGTATGGAGCGTCGCTGCTGATAATCCACTTTGAACGGCACACTGGACAGAGGAGAAGCTCTGGAGGCCCGAGCAGAGGGACTGTCTCTCTTCAGGAGGGATTCAATAGAGAAAGGACTGCTGAACTTCACCTCACATCTGATTTGAACCCCTCTGCAGGCTGCAGGTTCAGGAGAGGGGACAGCTGAGCAGTTCCTCGATGCTTTGCTCAGGTTCTCCGTTTCCACTTTGGAGGCCAACTCTGGGAAGAGCTGCAGGATTCCTTTGAAGTGACGACGCGCCATCTTTGCTGTGATATGACCAGAGTCCAGTTTCCAGTAGTTCCTCTTACTGTCTAGAGAATCTGGGACAACTGGAATCTGAAAATAATACAAGAATAATTGTTACATCAAATACTAAAAGGAGGTTAATTTGCAAAGATCTGAAATTAAAGCTTACCTTGACAAAACATGTGTTTGTTGATAGACAAACTCTGATGTTGTTCTCAACAGATCTTTTGTCGTCAGAGATGAATGGGGCCAGTCTGTCCATCAACTAGAACAATCAAATTGAGATTAAGTTTAGAATCGAAACATGAGTTTCACATTCAAAGATTCAAAGGATTCATTGTCCAGTAGCTACTGTGTAGATAGGGCAATGAAAATATTAAGTCCCAGGCTCCATTAATATATAAAAAAAAATTAAACAAATCTAAAAAAACAATAAATATAGTGCAACAAGAAAACAGAATGAAATAGAGCAGGTAAACTATATTTAAATGTACAAAGCTAAATGTTGCTGAGAATGTTGTGAGTGGCAAAGTAAATGCAGGAGTCTATATACACTTGAGAAAAACAAAGAATATAATGTAAAATTAAATACTTTACAATGAAATAGTGTTCATTGCAAATGTGTTGACCCTTTGTTACCTGAGTAAAGGTGAGCATCTTGCCAGGAACGTCCTGCAGGATGACAGCGATCTTGGCCAGATATGTGGTACTCTTCCTGAACAGACCTCGCTGAGAGCTGCTGGCTGGACTGGAGAGAGATCCAAACTTCTCAGGCCTGGTCTGCATCTTGTTTGTTGGAGAATCAGGAGTCAGGAACAGACTGTGGTGTTTTCACAGCCTCACTGAGAACAGTTGTGGATGGGAGGTGGTCAGCTCTGGATATAAGTCCTGTTGGGACAATAGGACATCAGAGGGTGTGCACTACAGGTTAATGAAACCTTTTGAAAAGTAAATGAGCCATTAATGTTGGAGGTGGAGCCAGTGGTTTCAGTAAAAGCCCATTTCCAAAGGGTCATCAGCATGTCTATATGGAGGTCCTGATCTGCCTCTTTGTTCATGAGCAGTTACATTTTCAGACTTTAAATAAAGGTTATAGAAGTCCAACAATCCAAACAAAATATACAAATTAATAAGGCTTTACTTTTAAAAGTGTCATTCAAAAACACACATCATACATTTAAAATGTATTAAATTGAAAGAAGCTTTTGGCTAAAGCAATGTATACAGAAGCACAACCCAAGCAACAATATCAACAAACTAAACTACTAAACAATGATACAACAACTATGTACAAAGTGTTGTCCAAATTTTAAGCTTTTTCTTACTTAAAATAAGCCAACATTTCTTATTACCATTTTAAATGATTAATAAAATCATTAAAAATAAAAACTGGAATATATTTCAACAGTTAACATTAAAATAATATAAAATGAATTCACAGTAAATCAAGGTTTGTTGGGGTAGTTGTCAGGATACTCACAGTGAAGTTGTGTCTCAGTGGAGCAGCGACTCACTTCAGCTGATTCCCAACTATCTGCAGGTGTGTGCTCCTCCTTTAGTCTGTGATATGCTGTGGCCTATTTAAACGTCAATAATTATTACATTAACTCAAACTACAAGGCTCCATACTATAATTTGTCCAACCTTGTTTGTTATGTTCTCAGAGACGCCATAAATATGTTCTCTGGAGCCTCTCAATAGCTGCAGAGAGAAAACACAATACACAGCTGGGTGACAGTGACATTCCAATGAGCAATCTCATCACATTCTTGCAGTTTGCACATCCCTCATCACTCCTTCAAAGTCAAGCCTATATCCCTTTGTCCAATATAATGACGAAGGTTATTTACATCAGTGATCCCCATTCAATTGCATGCACCCATTAGCTGGGCTGAATGCTTTAAAGAACAAGTTTTTAAGTTGATTCTGACTGAGGCTGCAGTTGCCCAAACCATTAAGCAGCTGATTTCACTTTTGCGTGATTGAATCTGTGTGACTCTGCTGCTTTGGGATCTGTTACAAGTAGCAGTTTAAGAAAGATGTCTGAATAATCCTGAAGGGTAAACTCAGATTTAGAGGGTTTTACTTGGAAAAGTTGTTAAATAATTAGAAATAAAATGTCACTGTAACCTTAGTAATCATGAGTCAGACTGCCCATGTCATTTAGGACCACACCCTCAACTAGGGCTGTTAAATTCATGGAATTGCAAAATGGACTTGTACAATATTTAAATAGCTTGAAGCACGATATTTGTTAAAAGCGTGTGTTAAATGTGTGTGTTAAAATATCATTTTGAATGAAGTGGTGCTATATCCATGCCTACAAGTCATATTTTACAGACTTAAAGCAAGTTAGCTGTTTTACAGTTCCTTTTAAAAAATCACAGCTTTTTAATAGAATGACGGGGAAATTATCAATCCGTCCAATATTGTGAAACATATCGCAACTGCAGTCTCTAAAAAGTTTGTTGTTATTTTTTAAAACTTTTACAGTATAGTATACCCTCAACTAAATTGCAAATGAGTAATACTGAGAATGGCAGCCGTGGGGCGTTCAGAGAAGCCTGTGAGAAATGATGGAGAGACAATATTGTGGAGGGTGGGGCTCGGAAAAACTAAATTAATGTGCGTGCAGGAGACATCATTGTTTATAGTCGTATAAAAGAATAAGGTGTGTTTGAGGTGTAGTCCTATTCATAGAAATAAAGTTAACTCCTTAAAAAACAAAAACAATGTTTATCCATTATATTAGCTATTAGTTGTTCACATGTTAATAAAAGGGTGGACGTGTGCTGTCTAGAAAAACAACTCTGTGATTATGAAATCCGGCATGTTACGTTTATCAAGTACAGAATATTGACGTATATTAGTAAGAAATTAAGTATGTCTAATTTAAGGTAACATACAAAAAGATTACATTTGATTAATTTGAGTCTCTTTCACATTAAGTTACTGTATTAATCCAAAATTGGGAAATGTTTTCATTGCAGCAGCATGTAAATCAGAGTATTGCATAATTAGAGATACAAAAAAAGAGTAGAAAATACACATTAATACAATATAAACATCTCAAAATAGAAGATAAAACAGAGCTAAAAAAGTGAAAACATAAAAGTCGACCGTGAAGATAAAAATCTGTAAAGTATCTGAAAAATAAAACACTATTGAAGGGCCAAATTACAGCTAAAACGATACAAAAGTAGGATATTATTTACATTTAGTGTTAAAGAATTTGAAGAATTACAAGAAGAGGGCAATGAACACTATTATCTCTATACAAAAACAAACTCAAACGGTGTCCTTTAAATGTATGTATGCTGCTTTTTAATATATTTATTGATGTACAGCACTTTGGTCAACTCTGTTGTTTTTAGATTTACTATATAAATTAAAGTTAGATTGGTTTGGATTTAAAGTGTGTTTACTGTGTGTAAGTGAAATACTCTGCTATTCTCCAGGTGAACTGAATGTGAATGAATCTCGACGAGGCGTAAATCACTGAAAAGTGAGACAGAACCTCAATACCATCGTGTTTGATGAATACAGCCATTTAAACTGTTACATTCCAATGCTTATTATTACAGCCGTTGTCTGGGAGTGGTCTACTTGTTTGTGAGTGGACACAGTGTTTAATCTACTAAATATCTATTATGTATTTTTCCAGAACCTCTCCATTTTAGAGAAAGGGAAAAATATGAGTTGATAAATGAATATCTTAGTCTATTAAAAGTAGCTTTTGCTGACCTGAACCTTTTCTTGTTTGTATAAAAGAGTATTAGACTGTGTAAGTAGCCAGCTTCTGATAAAGAGTACCAAACATTTTGCCAGGACCCAAAGCCATCTTGACTTTTCCCAGAATGATTACAAACTGTGTAATGATACTGAAACTGAGTCTGTTTTTAATCCTTATGAAACTGATAAGGACAATGGTGAGCTTGCCGCACTTTATTTAAATGCTTTCTGGCTCAATTCTTTGACAGAGAGGTTTACTTCTTGGTAAAATAAAAGCAACTTTAAAATGTGCCTGTATAGAATGAAGGTTATAATATATTTTTTCAATTGGACTTCATATACATTTAGCTTTGCCTTTAAAAAAAAAAAAAAGCTTAATTTTTAGTCAAGTGTGTGCTAGTTTTTGTTAGTTTCAGTAAGTGGGTAGTTTTAAAATACTGTTTTTAGTTGTTGTTAGGGCTAGGAAAAATATCTCAAAAGTATGTTGCGTCAAGCACATACAAAACACAAGAGTAGAGAACAGTTTAGGAATGTGCAGAAGAGGATTAGGGCCACATTATTATTTTTTTGGGAGGATTTGAAAAAAAAATCATGTGGCCCTAATCCTCTTCCGTAGGAATGCCCCTTACATCTGCTGTTTATTTTTATTGTATTCTCTGCAAATGTTCCTATTAGTTTCAGGTACAGTTTACTATAACAACACTTTTGAAATAATGGGAATGAGACCTTTTTCAAAATGAGTTCACTGGCAAACACAGGGTGCATAAAACCCTGGCTGACTGACTGTAATCAACTTATTGAAAATAAATCAAATCCTTGATGTTTGAATATCAGTAAATTACTCCTTTTGAAAATATTACATGTTTTTCTTTAAGGGATTCCCATAGGATAAAATATACATACTGAAACCTTTTCTGTGTTAACTGGCTCCACCTCCAGCATTAATGGCTCATCTAACTTTCAAAGGTACCCTCTGATGGCCTATTGTCCCAACAGGACTTATATCCAGAGCTGACCACCTCTGCTCATATCTGTTCTCAGTGAATCTGTGAAATTACATTACATTACATTGCATTTAGCTGACGCTTTTATCCAAAGCAACTTACAATAAGTGCATTCGACCAGGAAGATACAACCTTGAAAAAAACAGAATCATATAAGTACATCAGGTTTCATAGAGCCAAACATTTCAAGTGCTACTCAACTGGCTTTAGATAAGCCAGTCCTTTATTAGTATATAAGTGCTTTGTTAGTAATTCTATTGCTCGAAGTGGAGTCGAAAGAGATGAGTTTTCAGTCTGCGCCGGAAGAGTAGAGACGAACGATCGCTGTATAGAACCACCCTACAGACGAGTAGTGGAGTTCGAGTTGGAATTTCTGACTTTGACGAAAAAGAAAGGCGCCTTTTCTAACAGGGTGAGAACTGGATTGTAGTTGTACCGTGAGATATCAAAGGGCTGAGTCTGACGTTCCTTAGACACAACACTGGGATCTATGTTGACCAGGAAGTGACGTTTTAGCGACGATGTTGGGCGACGACGTCTATGTGGAGAAATGTTGTAGTCCTCCTATGTAGGGGTCGACTCTGGGTCTTTTCGTGCGTCAGACCAGGTCCGGAGAGCAGTAGGTAGTGCGGATTCTGATGACGTTGAGGAGGACTGACCAGATATGGACGTACACGGTAGCTGGCAGACGTCGAGAGGTCTTACGTCGCCGAGCAGACCGGGGAAGTTGAAGGGATTTAACAAGGGTGTGTGAGGCGAGGACGGGGAAGTGACCGAAGGTCATGACGATCTTAGGTGAGTTCTGTGACCATGAACGCATGGTACGACGCTTACCTAGACCGGGAAGATGTAGGTCGCGTACCAATTTGACATTGGGTCTGCTACGTGAGGCAGACGTTAGTCGGTTGCTGGAGGCGACGTGGGCGTGACGCTCCCCCGTTCAAAGGGTAGTCGTTTTTGTCGCACCCAAACGATAGGACCGAGGTTTTACCACCTTACTCGAGAGGTATGTAGTCCTGTCGTCTCT